ATTCCTCCACCAGAATATCCCCTGCTCAGCTTCACCAATACAAAGCCTCTGCCAGGACAGTCAGCCAGGTTGGACTGAATGTTTCTCAGTGGAATGCTGAGGTTTAGTAACTATTACTGGGCACACTCCTGAGCTGAACATGTTAAAAAGAGAAAAACCCAGGCATGATTTACTTGAACACCTTCCTCACTTTGGTTTAGGTTTCCTGTGTGTGTGCCTCATTCAACCTCAGGCTTTACCGCCTGCCTATTTTCTGTTACGAATGAAAACTGTTATCATATTTTATTGTTAAAACCAGTGTGAGGCATTGTTAGCAACCAGCAGTGCATCTTATACACAGTGTGCTGTACTACTACTACTACTATGATTTCTCAAGAAAAATCAAGTAGGGTGAGAGGAACTGGGAGGATGGAGGCAGAACAATTATCTATCAACATCAGGTAATTCAGTCAGTATTTTCTGTCTCCAGGAACAACTTCCCACCACAAAACACTCCCCCTGCATAGTTCTGTCAATGTTTGATGCAGCAAGGCTGAACCACACAGGGACCTGAAAGAGCAATCGATAGCACTGCTCACTGCACCTGGCCAACATGAAGCTCTCCAGAACAGCTGAGGATCTCACAGGCTCCTCAGGGATGTTGTTGATGGAAGAAAGCCAGAACAAGTTTGGGGAAAAAGGGAAAAAAGAAAGGAGTTATCAGATCATAATTAGTCAGGCTGGAGATATGAGCTAGAGATAGCTTCCAATTTCTTAGCAGTGTTTTCACCCTTAAAGTTTCCCAAGAACAAAAACTGAGAAATTGAAACCTGTGAGAGAATACAAAACTAAACTTGCACTGACACAGGGCTATGTTACACAGGGCTGTGGTCCTTCTCTTCAGTATGTGAATCTTTGAAACTCACTGCGCCATTTTAAGCAAATCTTTCTATTACAATCACTCCAGAAAAACTGCATCACTGAACTGGCAACTGCATGGCAACTAAAACTGCAGAAACACAGGAGCAATTTTCTTTGCTCTCATATAATTAAAGGACATTTACAACCTCACCTAAAAATTAAAAAACAAACAAAATCTAACAAAAAAAAATAAAATTCAAAGAACCAAAAATAATCAATCAGGTCAGCCCAGGAAAACAAAAAAAAATGCACTCCACTACAATAATTTATGTAAGCAGCAAGCAATTTTATCTATGCTTTCATTTAGCTACTGTGATTGATTGCTAGTTACTTTCTAATTTCCTGTTGAAGTTTGATTTAGGGCAACACAAAACTCCTTCACTGGGATTTTCAGCTCCAAATAGAACAAAGTCATTAACAGAATTAATAGATTCTAGTCAGTTTGCATTGCCAAGCTTTCTTTAAAAGAAACATGCTCATTACCATGTTGCATGGGAAGAAAAGAAATTGAATGAGCAGGAAAGAATTAATATACCTACAGGATATGAAATGTCATTCATCTGGCAGCTGAAGCCATGCTCAAATTTTTGTATGGAGTTCTTATATTCATAATCTATACTGCTGCTTTATTGAGAGCAGATCTCTAGCTGTCAGTGCAGGAAGTTTGCTTGTCAAGGGGATTTACTTGGAAATAGTTAAGTCATGATTTGTAGTGTCTTTTCCCATTAAAAAAAACCAAACCAAACACAAAAAAACCCCACTTTTGGATGCAGCACAAAGGTTTTTCTGATTGCACAAGCTACACTCTTACTTATCACAACAGTCTCCCAATAGCAATGCATCCTCTCAGCATGATATTCTGCGGCTATAAACCCACTTCTCATTCCTCAGCTCACCACTTACCTGTCAGAAAACAAACTCAGTGTTGTAAGGTAATCCCTACATTCAAATATCTTAAAAAAAATAGCCTATTTTTTAAGATATTAATCATGCAAACTTTGGCTTCACACTTCACACTTTACTTTTAAGCCTTGTTTAGAACTGTGCTTGCAAGCACCTCCTCAGTGAAAATCCCAGTGCAACTGCAAATCTCTCCAGACTTATCATTCTGCAGTGGTCCACAATTCTTCACCTGCCACTGAGTTTTCTGTAGTATACTGTTATAATTTGGAGCATGAGGGCACTGGAACATGTAGATACATACAAGACCTGCACTTTTCAGAAATGCATTTATAGCTTGCTGTAAAAAAGATTTATTTGCATCAAGGTGCCCACAATTTCATTTTCCCCATTGGCTGCACCCCATTAACACACTCTTGCTCCTTCATTTTCCATTCTAATCCAGAAATACCTCCTCTACTCCAGCCTGCCAGGCACATGTCGCAAGTTTTCAAATATTTCCTTTCAGACATCATAGCTCTAGTCTCCTTTAGTCTTAATTCTTCTACTATCCTTTTCACCTCCCTGAGAGGTTTCAATTAATTACAGTTTTCTTATCTTGTCTCTGGGAAGTCTTATTTTTCTCTATGTGTAGCCTTTGGTTCTCATAATTCATACTGATGCTGCCTTGACTCTACCTTGCTCTGAAGTACTTAACCCTTCATCCCTTCTCTTAGTGATGCATCACCTGGGGAAAAAAAGACATTTGCAGCATCTAAAAACTCAAAAATTGTTATTGGAGTTGAAAGAGTAAAGCTGACACATCTTGCAGACATGCTCTCCCTAAAAAGTAAAGCAAAGGTTGCAAAAACACATTGGCAGAAATGAGCATTTCACACATTACCTGCACTTCTCAAACACAGGGGGGAAGGTGTGCAAGTTTTTTGAAGAAAGAAAAAAAAAAAAACCCAGCACAATATAAATTTCCCAAGCATCTTCAACTAGTTTTCTTGTCAGCGATTTCAACCTTCCTTGCAATGAGACAGACATTTACCTCAATTATTTTACTGCTGAGTTCTAATTTGCAGATGATTGCCTCCAATTAATCCATGCTTTAGATACAAGTTTGGGGCTTGTGTACTCATTATATTCAAACAAAAACCCTAAAGAAAGGTTAACAAAATATGCTAATATGCACCTGAAAGAAGTTAACACGTTACTGACTTAAGCAACATGAGCCTATCCCACACAGATTCAAGAAAAGTAGCAATAGGAAGACAGTAACACCGAAGGGATGATCCTGTCACAAAACTCTCACCCAGAGCTCATCCTAGAACTCATACTTAACTCCAGAAGTGGTTTTTTGTTTTATAAAAACACACTAGAGAAAATGCATGAACAATTCTGTATCTGTTTTGCTAATTCCTTCATGCAGACAGGAAGCTCTGCATAAAACAGCAATCAATAGTTTCTCTCTTCCCATTACAGCTGATGTGCAGAAATATTTGTTACTGTGCTATGGGAAACAGTCCATGTCGATACTGAATTACTTTCACTTTAATACAGTTGTTTTTTGCTCTTCTTACTATAAAAACCATAATGGAAAAAATACATGAATTCATATTGTATGGAAGGTTTTATTGATTGCTAAATTGCTGTCACTTACATCAGGTATAGCACTTTCATTCCAATCCAACAAAACTAAAAAGAAGCTGCTGTTAGACACTTGTTTCTGTAAACCTTTCAGCTGCCAAATACATATTGTTCTGCACAACTCTCATGCTGCCAGCAACACAACAGCATGGTAGCTGCACAGCTTACACTGTATGCATCAGTATAAGCAAAGAGTTGTCTGAAAATTCATCACTTTTACCAGTTACACTTTTTTATTTTACAAAAAAACCCCATTTCCTCACTTCTCTGCAACTTTATACACAGTATAAAACAAATCTCAGGGTTTGTGGTAGAAATTATTTGAGCCTATACAGAAGACAACATCAAATTTTATGAAATTAAGGACAGTAATTATTTTCTGTGATTAGACTCCCAGTCAAGATTACTTAAACGGACATTGCACTGTGACCCCTTCCAGAAGCATGGATAATCCATGATCAGATCCTCCTCTTTTGCTTCACCTTGTGACTGACACAGACAAATCTAATGTCACTATATATCCTACATGACCAGGCCTTTATGTGTCATGACTGACTATCCAGGCTTACTCAGCACCAGCGAAGTACTTGGATGAAATCTGATCATCTTGATGCACCATAAACAATACTTACATAAAAACAAGTGATGATATTCACATTACTGTAAAGGGGGAGAAAAAACTTCTGAGAAGGAAACAAACAAGTCAATGAAATGTTCAAGAATACACATTAAAAAAAAAAATCACACTTAAGAACTGGGGCAACCCATCCTAGGGCCAAAAAAGGATACATATTATCCCAAGTAATAGTGCACAGCCTTTAATGTACAAACAAAATTTTACTGAGGGCACAAAAAAGAAATGCTTTGGTAACCACTGCCCCAAGATACCAGATTCCTGCAGAAGTCCAGAGAAGAAACACGGGTTCTTAAGATTTTCTGATCTCTCTTCAAAATGATAAAGAGTAAAATAAATGCAGTTTCTAAAGTAAAGTGCCAGTACAGGAAAGACATTCTAGAACTGTGGCCCAAAGCTAGAGATGTAATTTTTCCTTCCTCATTTCAAACTACCAAAAAAAAAAAAAAAAAAAGACACTTCTTAAAAAAAATCCCAAAACAAAATGAAACAAAAAAAAATATCTGCAACAATCCCACCTCTTTTCAAGTTAAGTTATTTCTCTCTGCCCTGATTTCCTAAATAGGATTTTACTGTGAGCAACAAAATTCTGTATAACACCAATAATCCACTGATTTCTGGAATGAAACATTAGCAGCAGTACACAACATGCATAAGCCACAATCTGGATTTTTAATTGTCATATTAGTTAACATGGAAAGAATGGTAATCAAGATCCAGAAAAAATCAAATTACCACTCAAATAAAAGATGTTTAATCCAACTCATAAATACCAAATATTCCCCTTCCTATTTTGTGAAGTTGCTTCCGATAGTAGCTGTCAACTAAAATTCAGTTATTTATGCAGCATGGACTTCCTTAAAATGACATTGTCAAACATTCAGATTATAAATACAAGACCTCCTATGTATCATAAAAAAGACAAAAATTGTCATAATATAAACAACACATCATTTCACTAGCTTTTTGTAAATTACATTGAAATTAACTCACTTCTCTAACACAAATCCTAGATTTGAAAGAAGTCAAACTGCTAGAGAATAGAAATAATTATTGTGAACTGCTTGATATCAACGCTTGATATCAATGAGGCCACAGACCAATTCTCAGCATCTACCCTGTGTAAAACCTGCCAATGCAGCTATTAACACCACTAGTGAATTTGCCAATGACAGAATGGCCAGATGACAATGATTTTCTCCACTGCCCTGTGAAGAGAAAGTACTTTAGAGCAGCACAGACATCACAGATAAGCAGTAGCAAGGAGGTTTTAATGTTTACTGCTAGTTACGTGACTATTTGCAGAGCCAATGAAAGATTTGTCCCTCCAGACGTACAAACTACCTTTCAGTAAGTTTATTTTAAATTCCTTCCTAAGGTCATGGGAAGACAGCAACCTGTAAAATAAGGCTTAAATGACTTAAGAACTTTTCCTGTAGCTGAGTTTTAAAAACTCACTGCATTCTACTGCCATATACGCTTTAGATAACTGGCAAAAGCAAACAGTTCATCTACAAAGAAAGTCAACTGGTGCTGCAAACAAAGTGATTCAACAGCAGTCCTTGCTATAGAAGGCCCACTCTGAAGTAACTAAGTGAAGATGAGTGCTTCCATTCAAACACTTTCCTGGGGAAAGATACACTCTGAAGATCCATTTCATTCAATAACACAGCACCAGCAATGTTCAGTGGCCATGTTTATAAAGCAAACTACCTTATTATTGTGCTGTCCTGCTTGTTTGCAAATTACTCAGTAACTCTAATTTAGTACTTAGCCTATGTACAATAAACAATATTGGTCTAAAATCTGAAAGTGTCCCTAAGAAACTTCCAGAAGATGACTTCTATGCATAAATTTGTGATTAACTTTTGAGGTCAAGCAAGGGTGTTTCAGACAACCTAGCTCATCAAAATATTTTTATAAAAATCTATTGAATGTAAGTCTAAGAAAATAATGACCTGCACACCTATCTTTTTCATGAACCATACATGCTTCACAAAGTTAAGATTCAACTGGTTTGCTGGAATCACAACAAAAAAAAAAGACAGACGGAAAGAGAAATAAAATTTATTATACAATATGTTGAAATAGCAATGACTTAGCTGACTTCTTGCTCTGCTGTTCTAGGCAGAACAAAATCTGACCGAATGCTCTCAGGAAAGCCAAAACAAAATTACAGAAGTAGTATGTTGCCGCACTAAAATCGCTTTCTCTTGATAATTTCTGGTTTCCAGCTGACAGGATGAGTTTCTTCAGTCTAAAGGGAAAAAATAATCTCATAAGGATTACTTTAAACTTGAAACTCACCTATAATTAAGGTTTGGTTTAAAATATTACTTATGAAGTATATGTACTCTATTTCATATGTAGCATTATTAATATCTAATCTATTAATATCTAATCTGCAATTAATTTACCCAAATTAAATTTTCTGTCATCTCACTGTCTGAAGTACATAGCAATACTTGTTCTATACTTGTCTTTTTTTGCCATCAAGGAAAATTATTAGATTGCCAGTGGCATTTCCAAAACAACACTGTGGTTATCAAAGCACATGAACAGGAGTTGCCAGTGACAGACACGTCTACATCAGTATCAGTATCGGTAGATGTCATGGAGTGTGTTTTGCCCAACTCCAAAACAGATAAAAAATTCCTGATTTTTATATCTAAGACTTACTCCTAGTCTAATTAGTGCAAAATTCCAACATTTAATAAAAATTCTTACATTATTTATACTGAAGACATGCACTGATAAACTGTGCAATCATCTGTTGTCTTCTCCACTGGCAAATTAATTCATATTTTAGAATAAAAGTTTGAAAATAAGCTCTTGACTCTAAAGTCTAAAAATTGTCAAGGCCAACATCTAATCCAGATCATATAAATAAGTACAATAAACCTTAAAAGAGCAATCCTTTTGCTGATTCCCATGTTTTTATCAATACAAGCACCCAAAGTTCCCCACTGGGTTCAAAACCCAACATGTATGATTGTATTCAGATTTCTCCAAACTTCACCACAAAGACCTTTAACAGAAGAGTTCCCAGACCTGACACTTACTTGTACTACAGCATATAACAACAATTAGGAATGCAGAAATTAGCTACTGTCCTGTAATACAGAGGTCTTTGGATTATGTAAGTCTGAACATGTCCCCTACAGAGATGTGTGTTCTATTTGTCTGAATTTTTCTGAATTTATGAAAATACTTTAAAAAGACACTTTGACATACCGCAGTATCATCTTCTTTGTATACTTTTATGGTTTTATCAGCTTCAGCTGTTAGCAATCTGCTTTCTGACTGGTCAAAAACACAAGCAAATATTCCTGATTCACTGTCCAAAGAACCCGGCTGTACAGCTGCATGTACTCTCTGGAAATTGTATCCAGTTCTCCAGTCCCAAAGGTGCATAGTGCCATTATCAGCTACAACAAACAAACAAACAAACTTAGTATTTTGACCAGTCCTGTTTTCTAAAAAGAGCATCACAGACAGCTAGTAAATACATCAGGAATACATCACACAACATTCATGTAGAATAGCTCAGTACACCCTATAAATTCTCCTCTTTTTTGCTGTTTTCCTTCCTCAGAATCTCATCCAGATTTTCATCAGATAACCCAGACAGATGACAGACTACATCACAGGGCAATTGCAGCAAGTTGCTTTGGAGGCACAATAAGGACTGGTATTCTGAATATCAAGCTCCCTGCTCAGTAGCTCCACTGAAGCTGAATGAGGAGGCATCATCCTCCCAAAGAGATTAGGACATTAAGTCCTTAATGCAAAGTAGGTGTAATGTTTGCAGATTTTATTCCAAATGCAGTTTAAACCACTTCCAGTATTGCTGCTACTGGCATCAGCTACAGAGCATTCACAGCAATCTGAACTCCCTACTCAGAAGATGCTCTCAAGAAAATTTTTCAGTTACAAAACCCAAGGGGGGTTCAGTTACAAAACCCTGCCCCCTTCAAGAAAGGGTGTTTCTACAGTAGAAAACTCCACGGTAAAATCAACTTCCTTTGATTCAGCATCACCTTCTCTGAAGCTGCTGTAGATAGCATTAGGATGTAAAGGGGAGAATTGATACTCAGATTTTAACTTTTTAAAAGTCACAATTAATATCAGTAAAATGATAATATTTTTTATGTGGAGAAGGTGTTTTTTAAGACTCATCTACTACTAACATAAAAAAGTCTTAAAAGGATGTTCTGAAAGCATCTTCAAATAATAATAATAATGACATCTAAGTCCATTCCAGTATTTTCTCAAGTTCTTGTTCTTACTGGGGACGAGACATTTGTTAAACACAGCTTTATCCAAATTTTAAAATCAAGGGCCCCTTTTACACATATCTGGAAACATAACCACAGTAAGATGACAGTGTAATTGGCTGTTTCCCAATTCCTGCTTAGCACATTTCCATCTTACTCCACATCACTAGCCTACAGACCAAGGGCACATTGAACCAAATGCCTTATTCCCATTTAGCTTTAGCAAGATGCTTGTATATCCTCTACCCAGTCTCACTCCTTCAACATGCAGCTAACTCTAGAGGAGACACTAATGACCAGCAGATCATAAAAGATGGACTCTGGAGCCCTGCAGCAGCCAGCTGAGAAGAGAAAATCTCTTTCATACAGTACATTAGAAGTCCTTCAAATTTATTTTATTTGCATGCAGCTCAGAAACATCCAAGGACATGAAAGTGGCCCTACTCACTACAAAATGAAATGGTGTCCTGCAGCAGGCTGACAGGCCTAGGTAAAGCAGAGCTCCATGAGCATCTCTGCCTAAGGACGTCCAGCCATATGTACATGGGGGAGAGGAGAGCAGTGTGTAGTTCTTATTCTTACCTCCTGAGACCAGAACACCATCAGAATTTACAGCCAGTGTGTTTATAATAGCATTGTGACCAGAGAGGTTCTGAATGAAGTTTCCATCTGGGAATTTCCACTGCTTAATATTATCTGGAGAACCAGATGCAAATGTGTAACTGAAAGAAAATAAACACAGTACATTAAAGCTCAAAATAGCTGTAGTCACAGCAAATGTCCTCCATTAAAACTATTGCTAAATGCTAGTTGCAAAATAACTTAATATTAAAACTACTTATCTGTTTACTTCACATGAAAATAAGCAATTTTATGAAGTCGTGAATTACCTACTCCTACTGTTTTCTTTCTACTTCATAAACTAAACCTTGTAACATCCTGTATGTTGTAGGATTTAATATGCAAACAAATATTTAAAATGCACATTAAAGTCTCTTCAGTTGTTATTCTGGGAAATTTTCAGGGTATCACCAGCAAAGATAACAAGATAAAAAGGTACCAAACCCCAAGCATAGGCTAATGGCTAGTCTTCCAAATTTACACAAGGAAAAAGCCCTGCAAAAGTGAAACTACAAAAGATAAATTCTCCCACTGAGTTACCCCAAAATAAAAATGTCCTTCATTTTAAGATGTGCGAGCAGTTACATGGTTATTTGGCTAGTCTGTAGGAATACTTTCATTTGCCACTGTCCAGGGAATTTGCTGTCTATTTAAAAGATACCACAAATAAAAAAGTCAAGTATTAAGAGAAAACACCACAGCATTAAAAAAAAATAGAAATACTGAACTATAGGCTGACAATTGCTACAGTTTGACAAGAACACTTCAAGTGTTTTTCAGAAGGGTGTAATTGATAAAGCTGAACCCTGAATTACTTTTTTTTCAGAATGTAAGTAAAATATAGGCTTTTTCTATAGCTAACAGGCTACACAATTTTTCAGGCACACACTGGAAGAGAGTTTATTCATATCAAAGATTCTGAATTTTTGACAGAAATGATAGAATGTAATTTTAAAATATTAAAGACAAGGAAGTAATCAAGTTCTATGTGCACTCCTTTTCTCCACTGTTTTAATGGGGATCCAAACAGGCATCTGTTGTGCATCAAAACACAGCATATGAATTCAGAGCACTTCCAAGAACATCTGCTTCAAAGCTTCAATTCTCACATTGAGTTTTTTTAAGGCCAGTTAGATTGAAATGCCTTGTGCAGTGAACCACATATTTAAAAGAAATACCACTCTATTAATCACTGTCTCCTTGAGCATTAATCACATGTGTGCATTGGCCCATCACAAAACTACTGCAATTCCTGCTCACAACCATTCATTTATTATTAGCCTTATGAGCACTGTATCACCAAGTTTTAAGGACTGAATAAAAGGCAAACACGTAAGTAACTCTGTGGGATATAAGGCATTCTCAGGATTGCTAATGCCAATACTAGGGAAGCACAATCAGTGCAGTAAAATGTATCTGGTAATTGATATGTACATTTTTGCATCATCCTAAGTGCATTAGTTTCTCACATTATTATGCTCTACCATTCTAGATCATCATTCACATTGGCTCTCTTCAATTCTCAAAAAACTGTGAAAGCGTAACAGAATGAAGAAAACTTACTGTCTTGGATGTAGCACTACTGCTCTTACAGATTTCTTGTGATTTGTTAAAGTAACACGAGTTTTTCCTGCTACCAAGTCCCAGAGCCGTATGGTAGTATCATGACTGCCTACAATGAGAAGAAAATTTAAAAAAAAATTAGTAAAAACCATAATCTTGATTTTACCATAATCATTACTTTGCTAAGGCAGACAGAATGATGTAAGAAAGACATAAATACTGTGCTAATGCCACCTGAGATGAAGAAGATGCTGGACTGCAAAAGTATTTTCACTCAGTTTTAAGAAGTATCAGGTTCTGCAGTGTAACTTTAAGAAGTTACACTGCAAAGCTTGATTTTGACAAAATGGGAAAGAAGATGAATACTTAACCACAGTACTGGACACTCCTGAACTGAAATGGGGAGAACTGAAATACCACAGAAAATGCAAGTCTCAATACATATTATAACACAAATGAAAACACCAGAAAAAAAAAAAAGGAAGTGCAGAAAAGCATTCAAACAATGCACAGCCATATTTGCTTAAACATACCATTAACAGTATGTTTAATGGCCCATTTTCTACAGAAACTAGTATGAGATTTGAGCAAATTCACCAAGACAACATCATGAACGTCACACAATTACTGAACAAACACATTCACCATTAGGTTTTTCAATCATGTTACTCATTAAACTACACCTACTATACCTGTAATAATTTGTGGTTCTGCAGCTTGGCACTTCACAGTTGCTACTGCATTTGTGTGTCCTGACAGCGTGTGCACACTGGCTTTTGTCCTTACATCCCAAATCTATGAAATCACAGCAAATATGTCAGAGGTCAGTAACAGGTGCATCTTCAATGTATTTTAGGCACTGCCATTGATGACATCATTTCCTTGCCATAGCTCCACAGATTAAAAAATGGTATTTAGGTGGTATTTTTCACCCAACCATGTATTACAGAACTGCCTCAGCTGGTAAATTTCAAGGGGAGCAGGAACCTGCCAGTGAACTTCCAGGCATATGGCTCATTCAAGTCACCATAATACCATACCACCTTCTAAATACTAAGCAATCCTACATATATTACATAGTCTACCTACTAATTTAAGAAATAAAACATTATTTTTAAGGGACACGGCACATTTGTGCATTTGAGCTTCAATTTTATCAATAATATAAGACAAAGCTAACACAAATCATCTCAGTATTTCATCTAAATTGATGATAACTTTTGCCAGGTACTCATTTTTACAAATAAAGATACTGAGATCCACACATCAAGATGTTTAAACACAACAATGCTATACTTACTCGTGCTGTTGAATCTCTGCTGCATGTCACCAGCACATCTATTGTTGGATGCAAGTCTAAGCCATAAACAGCACTTAGATGACCGTGGTAATGTCTGATAACCTAGATGAATAAAAACCACGCAAACTAATAAGTGAAAGAATATTCTAAATGCTTTGATTTTTGTATTTGCTACTACTAATTCCTTCAACTAAAGAAACTGCAGCTTACCTTATTGTATTCAAGATCCCAGCATTTCACTTGTTTGTCTTCTCCACAAGAAAAGAGGTATGGACTTCTTGCACTCACTATCACCCCGCGTACAGTACTGATGTGTCCCGTCAAAGACAATTTCAATTTGCCACTAGCAAGGTCCCAAATCTGCACCAAAATAGGTATTTTAAGGTAGACAGGAAAAAGCTACACAGTGAATCTGAGTAAACAGCCCAGATGTAACTGATCCTGCTGCAATGTAAGTTAAAAATACAGTCACAAAAACACTCTCCAGATACTACCATGTAATAAATGAAATCTGAAGAAAAGAACTAGTGATACTCCACAAATCCCTTATGACAATGTAACAAATGTTCTGCAGTTCATTATTCCGCAAACAATAAACAAGAAATTGTTTCCAAAGGCTGGAAACATTTTAAAATAAATAGGCACAAAAAAACCCCACCCCCTGCAAACTTTGTCAGTCATTTCTTCCAACCTCTTACCTTTATGGTTCTGTCAGCAGAGCCAGTAACAAACCACTGATTTCCTGGTTCTACTGCAATACATCTCACCCAGCCCAGATGACCACTGATAACCTTAAGAAAGAACAAAAAAAAATTATATCAGAAATAATACAATAACTTTTGATGTAATTTTCCTTCTCCAACACTGAAATTTGCTAGTATTCACCAAAAAAAAAAATCAAATGTGAAATTAGATCTGAAGACAGCTCGATTTCTACTTCAGTCAAAGAGAAAACTAGAAATTTACATACACCAGATTTGGGGAAGCTGCAATATGTAAAGACCTTGTTTGTAAAAGCAACTTTTTCAAATCCTTTGAGAGCCCATAACACCGTGGCTCAACACTTGAAGCTTTGCAGAGAACGACTATTTGAACACAGATTCCTTCTGCTGCTGTATAGTGCTTATACAAAGAACAGTTATAAAAACACTGGCTATTAAATCACATTTCTACATAATAACCTCTTAAAGCACACCATCATCTTCTTCTCCCCAGAACAGGGATAGTTTGAGAATTGGACATTTTCCAATAATAAAATAATGGAGACTGATCTCACAAGAAATACTCTGCCAACACATGCTTTGCTTTCAGCAGGTCGTTTCTTCAAATTCTCCAGTCAGACAGCTAAAATCAAACCCCCTAACTGGTTTCACTGATGTCATGTTTCATGTACTGTCACACAGCTCATTTCAAAAGATTTAAAACACAATGAAGCTTCTTAGGCAGAAATACAGCAAACCTTCCACCAAATTTAACATAACACAACTATGAGAGTAAAAAAGAGGTTCAAAGACAGACTGTGTATTCAGCTTAGTTGTGATCACTTTTTGATCACATTTTTAAATCATATTTGATTATATTTTTGTAAATGAGAACAGAAATTATGATTTGAGGTCTTTACATAGAGTATGTTTACTTTTATATGTACATTCGTGTCATATAATTTCTAACTTACTCTGTACAGTTTCCAAGGTGGATGCCACTGAGGTTTGGGCATGGTTGGAGCCTTCTTTGGCATTAATGCAGAATTTTTGTTTCCACCAGCTTCCACCATAGCCTGTAAGTTAAAAGAAGGGTTACTCTTCTGGTTTGTAGCTTATCTCTTTGTCCAAAGCCTAAAACTTTCTCATCCTGCCTTCTCAATACTGGTTAAATTTAGTCAGTCAGATCTGCACACCACACGCACACAGATCCAGAAGCAATCCGATCATCACCACGTACTGTTCACATCAGATGTGCAGCAGACTCACCACAGACATCCCAGGAGGCTGGGAACGCTCAGATATGCCAGCATGCCTGTAAATGTCACCCACACCAGCAGCTGTCCGGTTTGCATCCAGCCTAGGGGGAGTGAAAATGGTTCATGAGTTGCAATCCACTTCCTCCTGCTAAGTGATAGCATCACCCAGCTGAGTGTTGCACACTTCTCAGGATGGAGAGTCCACAACCTCTCCTGGCACCCTGTCCAGGACCTGACAACCCCAAGGCACAGAGAGCACAAAGTTTCCCATTCTTCTCTTCTAACTAAACAAAATTTCCCAACTTTCACCCACTGCCTCTCATAACAATACAAAATAAAAAGCATACAGAAAAGCAATGCCTGTCCACACTAAAAGCAGTTCCTTTAAGAATATTCTAATTACTCCAAGTGGCTCTTATCCCAGCTTCTGTGATTTGCCTTGCAATTCCCACAGATAACACTGTCAATGAGGTAACACAGCAGTACCTGGACTGGGAAGCAGGAAGTGCTACAGCTAAGGACTGTGCTGCAGATTCACTTGGCATCCTCTGGACCTTAGTATCTGCTGTCAAAGCCACACCTTGAAAAAAAAACCCCACACATCAGAAACAAAGACAACTCCTTTAAAGAGGAACTCAAAGTGTATCATACAAACATATATATAGACGTACAACTGTAAACAAGGGCCTGACACACCTGTAACATAAACTCTCATTCTTCAATAACATTTTCACAAACAATTCAAATCTACTGAAATCTTTATTTTGGCACAAATCCTTTCCATCTTGATCTACTACATATGTGAGCATAAAATTTCTAGAGTATAAAACAGTATGTCAGTGGAAACAACAAAAAAAAGTCTAACTAGGAGCAACATCAATCTATCCAGCTTTAAGTGCTATGGAAATCCAAACATCCCAGAAATAAACATGAGCTTGCAAAGCATTTGCTAACTTAGGCCCTTTAGCACAATCTATAATCCACCCCTATGAGGTATTTGGCATCATGCAGTGGTGTCAGAACTATAAAAGGTTTAGTCCTACTGAAGCGAGAGTTTCAGGCTACATCTGCAGATTTTTAACATCTGCAGATTTTTAACCTTATCTCAAGAACAGCAGATATTGTCTAAACAAAAATTTAAAACTCTTTGTAAAGTATAGTTGTGATGTGGACTGGTGAATTTAACTCATTGCTTTATTTCTTTTCCTAACCAAACTTCTGTCAGTTGACAACAAACTCAGTATTTGGGCAAAATATTCAGATTAAAACAAGAAACAGCAAAGAAAGAAATCTGATTTTCAACCCTGATACAAATGATTCTATTAAAAGAACACTAAACTTAAGGAAGCCACTGTGAGCAATTCTTGCCCCCACAGTTAGAAGCAACTATGCCTGTTTTTTTAATGGTTGAGGGTCTACTGAACACTCACAGCTGTTAAGTTATAAATCAAGACAACAGATTTTCCACTATACTCATAATAAAGTTAATCACAATAAAAGACCAAGAGCTAAAACTAAGCTCTTGGAATTGATCAGTAACAGTGATAGGCAATGAGCAACGGCCAATGTAACAACACAGAAACATAGCCCTTACAAGCACAAGCAAAAGACACTAAAATTACTAGACCCTCAAGTCTCTTCCCCAGAGCAAGGTGGTGAAACCTGCACTTCTCTGCTCTGGGGATGAAAAGCAGGCAACATTCAACTACTATTAATTATGGATTCACATCAAGAGGAAGCGTGCTCCTGCTAGGATGAAGAATATCTTGTTCATACTGGAACTAAAAAAATCCATACAATCACTTGCAAAATTTTACTTACCAGGCCCAGATGGGTACGGGTGAGTACCAGTTACCATATACTCAACTTCTTGCCCTAAAGAGCAAGAGAATGTTATATTAATAATTACAGTTTATACTGTACTGCAAACAATGCACTCAAACATCAAATAGAGGAAAAGAGAGCAGATCATACACAGCAGAAGAAACCAGTAATCACCTCCAACGTACTTAGACATTTTTCATTTTCACTAATTTAATTTGTTCTGGTTATCTCCATTTTAGAAAACTCAACTGTAAAAAATAATTAATTTGAATGGTGAAGCTACCTGTTATAAAGAGGACTCAATTAAAAAATCTTCATACTGTCTTTGAAGAACAAATAATGTATACAAAGAGCACAGGTGACTGAAATGTAAGCTAGTCGGCTGTCTGTGCTGTCAGATTCTTCTTAAAAGATTTTTCAGTCTCTCTCAACATGTTTCACTTTCACAATACTTCCAAACAAAGCACCTTGGACAGAATCTCAGTATCAACTGAATATCAACTACCTCAACTAAAACAAGGCCGCATTTTTAGAAAAGAGATTTTCATACGAAATCTAACTGATATATACACATTTTATACATCACAAAACATATATTGAAAAAAACTCCACAGATTTGAAATGAAGTGTTTTCTGGTTTAAAAATTGCACAGCTAAAAGATGGTAAGAAACAAAACTAAAATAACAAAAAAACCACCCCAAACAAAAAACAACACACAAAAATGCCAAAACAAACAAAAGCCAACAAAAGAGCACGTCCTTAATCACCATGAACTCGCAAACATAAGAAATACATTACTCAACTCTAACACCTAAGTACATTACACAATAATATTACCAAAAATTACTCTTTTTGCCAACTAATCACTATAAAAAACTCCACAGCACCCAATAACTCCTTTGTTAAAAGCAGCTTTTCCCCTTTTCTGAATCACTTACCACCTGTGAACCCTAGCAAAAAAAATACTAATCAAAAAAGGTTTTTTTTGATTTCTCTATTTATCTCCAGTGAATTAACACTGGACTGCATTGTGCAGATTTTACATCAGTGAGACTGTTACAAAAGAAAGGACAAACGTAGCACTAAGGGCAAACTAACCTTGATTTCCAGAGTACTGTTTGTGTCCATAGGGATCGCCGGTGTTGGGGCCTCCTTTCTCCCTCAGGTTCTCTTTGAGCGTGGGCATGTGCAGCACTGAGCCGTACTCCGTGCGCAGCTTGACTGCCATCTTCACCTTGTGACTGCGGCAAGAGGAAAGCAAAACCCTCACTGAAACCCACCTGCTGAAATATTTCATAGAAGATGTCGTAAAACTTACTTTACAACTCTAATATTTCTCTCCCCTCAAGATTACGCTGTTGACAGTGCAGAAACATCTGAATTTCTGACTTGGGTCAGAAATTGACAGTCACTGGCAGAGTTTAAAACCTCACTGAGTGCAGCAGCACTTACCTTTCTTCATCCAATGGGATAGGCTTGGCATTATCAGCTACAAACATGTCATGGGTTCTCTTCAAAGACCTGAACACAAGTGTGTGCACAGAATGCTTTTGGACTTCCTGAAATAAAGAAAAGAGCATTTAAATAAATTAGGACAGATTTGAATAAAAAACTGCACACTGAAACATAAATTGAACTGAGTAGCAATTTCTCAGTTCTGTTACATGGCAAGCAACCATTTGGTTTACAGAAGACACTGATCTTCTTGGAAATTAAAAAATTAAGTTATTATAACAGTTGTTTATTCAAAACTATAGTCTACTCCTTGAAAACTTTCAAGACTTAAAAAAGCAAGCCAAAAACTTTTATCAAACTTTCTGCACTGACATCTATATGACAAATCCATGAGTATAAAAGCTTTCATCCCACATCCTCCCCAGTTTTGAGGGGGTTTTCATATGTAGGCAATAAAGAAATCAATTCTGGAAAAAAAACCCCAAAGAACTGTAAATTTTCCTTCACTACCACTGTAAAAAGAACACAAGCACCATGAATTTCTGTGCACAGTACCACTTTATGTTAACATGGCTAATTACCACTCGACAACAGCAGCTGTTGACAGCACAAGAGGAGCAGTAGGTACCACCACGTCTCCCCAGCGGGGAAGAAACTTCTGCAAGTAATTTCTGACAGATGCTTTTCTGTAAAAAGCCAGCTCATAGTGTTGCATCAGGCAGAAGTCATTGCACCTTCTTCTATAACCCTGACAGCCCCACGTGCCTTCAGAAGTGCATGAAATTCACCCCACAGTAAAGATTCTACAACCTATAAAAGCAGTGGCCTTCACCACAGCCGGGCTCCCAAGCCCTCACAAGAAAAGCTGAGGTCTCTCTCATGGGCAACAGAATCAGAAGCTCTCTGGTGGTAAAACACCACAGCATCAGCTCCCCACAATCACAGAATGTGCTGAGCTGGAAGTGCCTTACAAGGATCACCAAGCTCAGCTCCTGGCCCTGCACAGGACACCCCAAGAGGCACACCCTGTGCCCAAGAGCTTTGTCCCAATATTCACTGAATTCTGTCAGCCTTGCTGCTGTGACCAGTTCCCTGGGGAAGCTGTTCCAGTGCCCAAACACCCTCTGGGTGAAAGACCTTCTTCCTAATAGCCCACCTAAGCTATCCCTGACACAACTTCAGGCCATTCTCTTGGATCCTGTCACTGTCACCACAGAGATCAGATCAGAGCCTGCTCCTCTGCTTCCCGCTCATGAGGAAGCTGTAAGCTGAAATGATGTTTCACTTCACCCTCTCCTCCAGTCTGAACACGGTAAGTGACCTCATCCACTCCTCATAAGATTTTCTCTCTAGACCATTCATTCCCATATGCTTTACACCTTTTTCTGATATTGTGGTACCCAAACCAAAACCCGGCACTGGAGGTGAGGCCGCTCCAGGGCAGAGCGGAGCGGGACAATCCCCTCTCCTGACGGGCTGCCGATGCAGTGCCTGATGCTCCCCAGCACCAGCTCCGCACTCGGCACGAGTCTGGCAGAGCAAACCCGCTGCCTGCTGCTCACTCCGCCCAGACACGCACACCCCGGTGACCCGCACCCGCTGCGTTCTGCGGGCACCTCGCTGTCCCGGGCCGAACCGGGCGGGGCCGCGCAGACGGAGGGGCCGCCGCGCACCATCCCCACAGCGGCCTTCCCACCCGGGGCACCGCGAGCGTGGCGGCTGCGGGCGGCGCTTCTCCCGCCCGGCCCCAACCCGCTCCCGGGTCTCACCCAGACCGCCTCAAGGGCCCGACAGAGCGAATGCCCCCCTCGCTCCCCCGTCCCTCACCTCCGCCATGGCGCCGCCGAGCTCCCCCCGCCGCGGCCGCTATGGGGCCACTTCCGGCGCCTTCCCGCGCCGGACCGGAAGAGGAGCGTAAAGAGGGAAATGGACGGAGCGCCAAAGCGGAGGGGCGGGGCTTATCGCAATCCCTCGGGGGATGCGGGTTCGAGCCCCGCTGGCGCTGCCGGAGCGGGCGCTACGAGTCACTTCATCAATGTGTACAAATATATAAAGAGAATGAATGGAGCCAGGCTCTGCTCGGTGACCCGCTGACCCACTCACTGCGCTCGCTCCAGCCTGGGCCGTGCCGCGGGTGCGGTGTCCCGGCGGCGGGCAGCGGCCGGCAGAGGGCGCTGCGGCGCCGCTCGCGGCCCTCGGCCCTCGGCGGGCCCGGGCGCTGCCGCCTCGGCGTGAGGGACGGGTTCGGGCAGTCCCGCTTTGGGTCTCAAACGGTGGGACTTTGCAAATGTGTAGGGCCGTGGAGCTATAGGTTTCGTGTATTGCTTTCCTCGTGAGTTCTCAAGGGTAAAGCCTTACGGTGTTGAAGCGCGGTGATAGTGGATGTTAGCCATTATAGCTGATCTTTTGGGAAGTGTCTTCGTTTGGCTCCACGGGACCTCATTTCGATGGAGAGAGAAGCGTGTGAGCGAGCTGGCACCCCCCGCACTTCATGGCGAAGTGTTGGGTATGAAATGGCAGAGGCTGTAAATCTCTTCCAGACCTACCCTGGTGCTCCACCTGACATTTCACTTCCATTGGTGAGAGGAATAACCAGATGCATCTGTGCAAATTTCACACAGGCACCTACTTTCTCCACATATACTCATCTGCTCTTAATTCCAGGAAGTCTTGTCCTCCTGAGCAGTAGCTGGGATTTGACAAGCTCATCTTTTGCAGCCACTCCATCATGATGCTCTTCTTTTACCACCAAACCAGCCGCTCTGTTTGCTTGCCTGCATGCCTGAGCTGTGAACAACTTACAAAACAATCTGAGCTAGAAGTAAATCAGTGCAACATAGTTGGTTCAAACCTGCTGTCTTTATTAGCTACAGGACAGCGTTAGCCTGGGATTATTTCTGGCACACAATGCGCCTGCTTGACATAAATATCCTGTCTTTTCTGCGGTTAATGGGTCACTTCTGGTGGCTGCGCTGGTGGTTTGTATTTAGTAATTTTGGGATAATGTGATGGAAACGTGCTTGAAGTGGCTTTGAGCCCTAACTCCCGTTCTAGGTAGATTTGGGGAAGAGATGCCAATTACATTGTGTCAGTAGTGGTGGAGAACTATTGCCAGCTCAGCTTCAAGCCAAGGCAGGCAGGTTTCATGTTTAAGGTGTCAGCCTATTTTGGTAGTCCCTCTGGTGCGGCTGGCAATCCCTGTTGGATTTCAGAGCTTCCTGCAAAGACCAGCACAGCATCTCACGGAGGGGGAGCGTTGTCTGTCCTTGCTTAAAGTGCAACCTGGAGTGCAAACTCCACAGGGCAGTGTGTCAAAATGGGGCAAATCTCTTACATCCTCTTGGGCTGATGAGGTTAGACTGAAGATACACAACATTCAAAAGGAAACTTGGGGAGAGCTAGGAATTTCGAACAGGTTTATCTTTCTTTTTTAAGGTTGCACACAGAGTAGCATGTGCCTGCTTGATCACACAGTTGACTGGTGGATTTGATGTGTGGAAATGGTTTAAAGACTAGTCTCTGGCTGTCTATAGAGTTCTTTCCTTCCTGTTTTCTGTTGAAAGAAATCAGGCTTATTTCCACTGCCTTTTAAAGAGAAACCAGATTTGAAATATGTGCTCTGGTAGCAAAAAAAAAAAAAAAAATTATATTTAGCAAGAAAACTTGTCGGTGTTTGTTATTACTATTAATAGTAGTATTCACATGGCCCTGGAGTTGCTGTAGTTTTCTAATTTTTTTACATATAAACATTCCACTCAGAAATTTATAATCTGAACTTATTTCCTGTTATCCTTGTAATGCTTCAGAAACTCAGAGGACAAATTAATCTTTTCAGAGATTTCAGAATGCAGTTAGAGGACAAATTTAATTTTTTTTTTCGTAGAAGGTTTAGTCGAGGGTGAAATTTAGTCCTGGAACATCAATAAATCATGTCAGTTATATTAATAAGAACATGCACTTAATTAATTTCCTTTGTTACATATGGCTTCTTGATGTGCTCTTGCATGACAGCTACAGCTGCAATTCTGGAAATAGCTAGCTATGTATTTTTTTATAAGCACTATTTCGTAGAAAGTGACTAGCAAATTGGATGAACTTTCATTGTTATATTAAAGCCAAAGGGAATAGCCCAGTCATTAATGTTGATCCCAGAACATGGAGATAGCATTCATTATAATTTACAAGAAACCTTTGAAGTAATATTTGCCACCAGTAAAAGCAAATAAGAAAAAAGGATGTTCATCTCAGCAGAGGTGAACATTTAAGTTCACGATATTCTTTTCATAGGATGACACTGTTACAACACTACTGGCTTAAAAGAACTAAAATTTCTAAACCAACAGCTATTTTTAAATTGAAACACTATAGCTCAGTGTAAGCCAAGAAGGTTCTGTTCCCCAAGACCTCTTTTGGGGTTCCATCCAGCTCTGAAGAGCCATGATCTGGTGATCGTGACTCGCCTGGTCGGGAGGTTTGTGTACAGAGGGTTGCATCACTGGCCAGCACTACAAACACCAGGGCACTGAGCAAACAGTTGTTCCTCAAAACACACACACGCCTCTGCCAGTAAGTGCCTTTTTAGAGAAAGGTACTGTACACAGGGGTGTTCTGGAACACCAACAGGTCCATGGAGTATTATTGCAGTTTCTAGCAGACATGCTGTGGTATCACCACCACAGTAACTCTTCTCATTAACCACGTGAATTGGAAGAGGGAGGATGAAGGAAGAGAGGTTGTTCTGTTTTGAAGAGAGAGCTTCTTTCATACCATTTTTAGAAGAAATTCAAGCTATAGTTTTGGTCCTTCATAAGGCTTTATTCAATCCTTATAAAGTGTCAGCCTGACTGTAATGGTTGCAAGTGTGAGAGTAAAATCACTTCTCATAACCAAGATGCCAATGGAGATTAACTTTTGCTGCCAAAATGCTTTCCTGTCAGTGTGTGTGTCTGCCAGGGTAGACCCCTCTGCATGCCAGTCCAAATTTTGACCGTTTTTGTTGATAAAAGTCCCCAGGCACAACCTCCGCAGTGCAGACAAGGCCCTTGCTTTCCAGATGGACAGTCACACGATCCCTGCCCTGAGGCAGCTGGTCATTTGGCAAGTAGCCGCCAGCCTGCTGGGGTGTGACATACACGTGTTGCTCATGGAGAATCCTCATGGAGCCACCACCACCCGACTCTCCTGGGAAAGCCAGTGGAAGGTACTGGAGTTGGGAGGGTCAAAGGCTGACTGTTGAAGGGGAAATCCCATCTGAAGGCAGAATAAGCCTGGGGGTTTCCCATGATGGGGCTCTGCAGTTGGCTTGGTGGCTCCTGCACCAGCCCTCTTCATCCAGTCTCTGACAGCCTCTGCACAGGTGCAACCAGGGCACTCCATCAGGAGCTGAAGAGAGCTTTATGCCTGAAGGAGGACACCATAAATTACTGCAGAACATGCTGATCATTTTAATACAGATTTAGCACAAATATCACTTGATATTATTAATATTTAATTAAGATTTGTGTGAACTGAGCTGGGATAATTTAAGTTTATAGCTCAGGAATGGTGAGACTTAGTTTGAGTTCCACTGTACCACAGGCTACTTGTAAGCCCTGGGCAAAGCTTCAGGATGACTATGTCCCTTCCATCTGTAGGATGAGGGTGACTGAACTTCCCTCAGAGGTAGATGGAGGGAAAACTGTATTAAAGGTTAGGATATTCCCAAAATCAAGGATACCATCATTGGCTAGCATCCATAAGTGGAAATAACTTGTTCGTGATTTCAGTTTTGCCTTAGAGAGATTTCTTAATGTCTGTAGGGAGAAGTTTGTGTTCCTCCAAATCTAATAGTGTTGGTGATGTCCTCATGGAGTGAGATCCAATTCAGTGGAGTTTAAGCTCCTTGGGCCATGGCTGATTTGGGGCCAAACTGTTTAATAATTAAACCGGTCAGGTTAAACAGTTTTCATATTTTGCAAATCTCCATAGTTTACTAGAATTCTGACAACAGCACGAATACAGGAAAAAGCCTAAACCAATACATTTTAGCTGTTCTTAACTTTGCTTCCTGTAAAATCCTCCCCTCCATTGAGTTAGTCTTTGAAATGGAAGCTCAGACCACAGTTTGTATCCCTTCATTGGTTCAGACATTGATACGAATGACTTCAGAAAAATGTGCTGGCTCCCACTTGGCAGATTTAATTTAATTCGGTACATTATGGTCATTTATAATGCTCAAGAAAATCACAGGATATAAGCACACTGAAATGTTAAAACTCTGCTAATATGAGAGCAGTGATATGCAACTTCCTATAAAACATCAGAAAGTATGTTTGAGTATTTCACTATGATTTCAAGTAACTTCATGCTGGATTCTCTTAAAAGATTATTGAAAACATTCAGATAATATTTGAAAGATGTAATTTTTGTATTAAAAAAGGAAACCAGAAAATTAATATGTAAAATTGAATTATTTTAGTTCATTTACAATATCACAAGGCTATATTAATGGAATAATATTGGCTTATGCTTACAGTATTCATCTGATCTTTAATAAAGCAAAACATTGCTTTTACTCAAAATTATTAATTTAATGAATATAATATACCTTTTTTTTCACTTTTATGTTAAAAGACCCAAAAATTTGCATATCCATCAGGCACCATCAAACTATTTAGAAAAATGCAGAAATCTGTAGGATGTGAGTTGTCTTCACATTTAATACAATATTTCTGAATATTCACATTTTCAGCAGGTTAAAAGACCCAAAAATTTGCATATCCATCAGGCACCATCAAACTATTTAGAAAAATGCAGAAATCTGTATCATGTGAGTTGTCTTCACATTTAATACAATATTTCTGAATCTTCACATTTTCAGCAGGAAAAAAAAAAAAAGCAGCCATCACAACATGACATCTAATAATTTTTTTTTCTTTGGCCATTC